CCCATCGATGACCTCACCCTATCACTAGAGGGTCTACATCTTCCTCTTCACCCCATAGATGACCTCACCCTATCACTAGAGGGTCTACATCTACCTTTTTATGCAAAAGACAGTTAACATATCACTAGAGCCATCATGCGTATCTAGTTTTAAAGATTTTTGAGTACTAAATTAAATTTTAAAGAAACCTTTCCTTTAAAATAAAAGGTTTTGTTAGGGTGTGATTATAAGAAGTTGTAGATGAGATAGACAGAATTTTACATAAATCAAAATACATAAATTTATTCAGAGAGGAGTCACAACAATTAGATACTGACTAATATCTAACTCTAGACCATTGAAATCAGGCTACCCAGTCTTTCATCAGGTAAGGCCAAAAGATCCTAAGGACAAATAATCAACTCTATAAATGATCGTACCTATAACACGTCCAAAGGCAGTCTGAGGAACCTCTAAAACCTCCACCATCGGCTCACAGTCTGTGATCAGCTTCTCCAGAACACAGCGAGCTAACAGAACCTGCTCCTTGGAACCTTGCAGCTGAAAGCACACCACTGCCTTATGGCCAGGCTTCTCCAAATCTGACAAAACCCTCACACAAGCTCCAGATCTCTGGCTCACCTGAAACAAAAGCAGAAAAAGGGAATTGGTTTACTGGGTTATCAATGGTGTATGCCAAAATCATCCGTATGAAGACAATAAAAGACCTGAAATATTTCAGTTAGTGTGCAATACATCTAAAATATATGAATGTTCAAGTTTTATCATTACATTATGGAAAATAATGAACTTTTTTACAATATGCTAATATTTAGAGAAGGACCTGTATGTTGGTAATGGTTTGTGTCTGGGGAAGAAGTTTTGAATTTAAAAAAGCTTCCTGGATGGGAAGCGAAACGTCTTCAAACATGGAAACAAAGTCCAGTGGATTGTTTTAGAAATTTAGATTTGTGGCACAGAAACGACACCATTATTATCCTCTCAGTGCTGCAAATACCGGTTTTAAACGCCGTAGTACCTCAGTACCAAATAAGTATCAGTACATGAACAACCCTGCAGCTGACCGTGGATAAAATGGACCAGGCTGAAGAACATCAGGGACATCAGACCTATAAAGCCTCTAAATCAGATGCTTCCTACAGGATACTGAAGGCACTGAACCACAGCCTGGACTCCTCAGGGGAAAACTCCATGCTGGTTACTCACCACGTCCAAAAATGTAGCCTGGCTTTTAGAAATGTGTCTGTAGACCTCTAGAGGAAGAATCATTTCAGACTCCTCCTTTTCAGGCTCCTGCCCTGTTAGAGAAATCATCCACAGATTAGACCATTAACAATGGTTTGGGTTTTATTTGTCTTTTGATTAGTTTGTTGCAGAACAACACAGACTTACTGCTGCTGCTGATGTGGCGATAGACAACGTAGCCGATGGTGGCCCCAACAGACAGGCCTGCAGCCAGGGCCGCCATCCTAGCTGAGCCCAGGCTGCCTCTTTGGACCTCCATGATGAAGCACTCAGTCAGCAGGTGATGCACCTATGACATGACACAGGACACCATCAGCTCTGCTGTGAGCTGCAGTTGGCTCTGCTGGTTCTCCTCAGCGTACTGCCTGCAGGATCTGCAGTTCTGCAGAAATAAAACTGCTGAGCTCTCAGCATTTCACCATTAGATCCACCACTGGATCCAACACTTGATCCAACAC